TTCCTCTCAAGAGGCATTAAAGCTTTACTGTAGAAGGATCCGAATGTCCTGTGTTGTTCTTGCCGGCAAGACGATCGCGCGGGACAGAAACCCTGTCTCAAAAGCACCCCCCACAAAAGGAAAGAAAGGAAGGAAGGAAGAAAGGAAGGAAGGAAGAAAAGAAAGGAAGAAAGAATAACAGACTAGACCCGGGCAGGTAAGAACACCCTGAAAGTTCACACACACCCACAGCAGCACGAAAACACAGCTGTTCTTTAAATAGAAAACCACAGAAGGTCCTCTCGGTTTCAGTCATGATCTCCCACCCCCTACCCTTCTCATTAGTAGATTTGCTGCATTTGGTTCCTTTGCTAATTTTATCGGGGTGGGTGGGGTGTAGGGTTGAGACCAGACCTTGCTATATATAACCTAGGCCGGCTTCAAACTGGGACTAACCCTCTTGCTTCAGCCTCAGAAATGCTGAACCCAGATATGCTTTATTATTATTTTAATAAAATAAATAGAATCAGTACAAGTTAGCAGCGCCAATTGTGCTACACTGTAACCAGTCAATTGCTCTAATGCAGTGGTTCTCAACCTGTGGGCTGTGTACCTCCTTGACAAACCTCTTATCTCCAAAAATAGTTATATTATGATTCATAACAGTAGCAAAGTATCAATGAAAATAATTTTATGGTCGGGGTATCACCACAACACGAGGAACTGTATTAAAGGATCGCAGCATTAGGGAGGCTGATGACCTTCATAGCAAGCACTAATCACCAAGACAAAACAACCGCTACTGCTAACAGGGTGCCGTCCACCGCACGCTAGTCTGATGAAACTGTCGCGCGCAGCACCTGGGCACAGCCATGTGCAGTGCATGTCCATGCTCTCTGCTTTACAGATGGAGAGACAGGCAGGCCGTCTCAAGGTCACAGTGCTGGTGTGACAGCCAGGCTCTCAGGCATTCATCACTCTGCCGGACCTCATGCCTACTTCCCATCTTTTCATATCCTTGCCTCCTAGCATCACCCTTAAGAAGTCGCTCAAGAAATGAACATTAGTTATATTCCCAAACTGCTCGCCTTGGCCTGTCTCTGCTGCTTTTGCCCCTAATAGGTAGCTTCTCTGGCCCTCCTTCCACCCACACAGCCTCCTCTCCCATAATCCTCTAAGCTCTATGGACCTTTTTTAACCTTTCCCTGTTAGGGTCAACAGAATCATCTCCGTAGAAACCTAAGAAGCCAAGACAACTGCCTTCATGCCTTGAACGTGCACTCTCATTTCTAGCCATCAGTTTTAACCAAGAGTGCATCCAAGTGGGTGGTCCAGCTACATCAAAGGGAAACCGGCTCTACAAAGAACAATTCTCCTTTCTTTTCATGTGAGTGGTTATCTAACCAGACATCTGTTTTTCTCAGCTGTCCCTTTCCTACACAGTCCCCATGTAAATTTTCATGTAATTAAAAACTAATACTTAAAACTATAAACATTAAATTTCCACACAGCTGATGATGGAATGGGGCTTATGATCATAAAGGGGAAAAAAAAAAAAAAAAAAGACCACTTCTCTACGTCTTCAAAACCCAGACCTTGGATCAGACATACCAAGTTTTACTCACTAAATAATCAGGAAGAGTTGCTACTTCAGAGAGTGAGAAAACCGCGAGGTAAGTAAAAAGAGGCAAGAATGGCAACGTGGTTCTGCTTCAGCAGTGAGGACTTGCCATCACACGTGCCTTGACCTCCGTGTTCTCCAGTCTGAATTCCAGACTTAAAACAGTGAGTTCCCTAAGTAATGTAACTCAGTCCACCTGTTAGAGTTATTAAAAATAAAATGTATCCAGAAATGTACATAAAGCATATGAAAGGAATGGCTAGATAAAGATTTGCTCAGAATTTTTCATTGACAATAGCTAAACCCACAAAAAAAGAGACATGCAGGGCTGGAGAGATGGCTCAGCGGTTAAGAGCACTGACTGTTCTTCCAAAGGTCCTGAGTTCAATTCCCAGAAACCACATGGTGGCTCACAACCACCTTGAATGAGATCTGGTGCCCTCTGCTGGCGTGCAGGCACAAGACTGTAAAGACTGTATACATAATAAAATTAAAAAAAAAAAAAAGAGAGAGAGAGAGAGAGACATGCTTAATGTCAACTGTTAATCTTCTAAGTGCCGGACTCCAAGAACCTGAGTGATAACTGTATCGGTTTGAAGTAAAGTTTACAGGCACAGTTGAACGCCACGCTAAAAATTTTAAAGTCACAAATCTCTGAAACTGGTATGTTCTAGGAACTTATCTAAATTCAGGGAGCTCACAGGACTAGAAGACATAAAAGTTTCCCATTGGAACAGGGATGTTACCTGAGGGAAGGCCCCGTAATTCCATATATAGCCCTTGTGAGGGAAGACATTTGGTACATAGCGCAGCTTTCCATTCTTTGCGTCTTGCTTAATGGGATTCAGTGGTTCCTCAGTGGCAATCTAGGCAGATCACAAGGGGAGGCAGGGAGAGGAAATGAAACAATTAGCCCTGTATACAATGAACAGATATTAAATCCACCATAGTACCACCAAATATTCCCATCCCAACTTAATAATCAAAGGTGCTTTAGCATGAATTACATCAATTCTTATTAGCAGTTAACAAGGACCGTGTAAGAAAAACCACCTGGAAAGAAGACACTCGATTAAATATTTATGCTCAAACTTTTTGGACACTGCATTATTTCTAACAGAAACAGTAAGATGAATGGAAAACATCAGGGTAAAAGTAAATCAATATTGTTGTTGCTGTTACTCTTGGGGCTTTTACTGCCAATAGTCTTACGATACTATAGTCAACTCAAAGGTGTTTTACCAAGATGGTGAGCATCTAGAGAGATGGCCTCCAGGTTAAGGGCGCTTGCTCTGCAATCATGTGAACCAGAGTTCAGTTCAGATACCAACCCATGTAACAAGCTAGGTATCTCTGCAAACACTGAGAAGCCAGGTCTGGGTGTGGTGGAGACAGGAGGACCACTGGGGTTTGCTGACTCCCAGTGTAGAGGAGACACAAGCTTTAGGTTCTGAGTAAGACACTGCCATGGCAGAACAAGTAGAGAATGATAGAAAAGCACACCCAACACTCTGGCCTCTGTAGCTCCTGCACACAGACACTCGAGGCTAGCTCTCGCTCTCTCTCTCTCCCCTCCTCTCCCTCTCTCTCGCTCTCTCACACACACACACACACACACACACACACACACACAGGCTCACGAACACAAACAAGACAAAGGTTTTTTGGATACACCTGACATGAGTAAAGGATTTCGATTTTGGTCTTGCCACTTTGATTCAGCAAAACATTGGAAATCCTTGCCAGAGTAGTTACACAAGGGAAATAAAAGACATCTAAACAGGAAAAGGACTAAAGTCATCACTGCTTACTGACAACACAAATATATATGTAGAAATCACTTAAGGTTACACACACACACACACACACACACACATACACACACACACACACACACACGCACACACACACGCACACGCACACGCACACGCACACACACACAGAGAGGGGGAAAAGGGAAGAGAGGGAGGGAAGGAGAGAGAGATTACTAAATGATTACTAAATGAATGTAATAAATTTGCAGGATGTAAAATCAACACACAATGTCCCTCCCCCAGGATTTCTGTTTAAAGCAGAAATCAAGAGACTATCCTATTTATAGCAAAACAACAATAAAACTCAAAGCACTTGGGAACAAATTTAATGGAGGAAAAGAAAGATTTGTTCCTATTGAGAACTATAAGTTGATAATGAAAAACATCAGAGGAGACACAAATGAAGGGGAAGATTTCTGTGTTGGATTGAAGGAGCATAATTCAGGGTCAATGCAATCCACAGTGAAGTTCCAAAGTCATTTAAAAAGAACAGAAATAGAAAGAGAAGTGTCCATGGACACACACACACACACACACACACACACACACACACACACAAATCCTAAAAAGCTACAGTAATTATGAGCAAAAAGAAAAAAAAATCACTATCGATTCCCAAGCACACTACAAAACCACAGTAATAAAGTTGGATGGAATTTGCCAAAGTCAAGTTCAGAAACGGACCGGTGAGAGTGGGTTGCGGCAGAGGTGCCAGCAGCGACACACGACAGGAAAAGAACACTCTCCTGAAGAGACGGGACTGGGAAATAGCATAAGCATGTGTGTAAAAAGCAGCTGAAAATGGATTCCTGAAATATAAGGCAGAAACTATAAAAAGAGAAAACAGGAGGAAAGGACAAACTGGTATAGACAACAACTTTTGGGATTGGACCACAAAACCACAGGCAATAAAAGCAAAAATAGACAAATGGAATTATATCAAATTTAAAAGCTTCTGCATAGCAAGGGAAACAACCAACAGAATATAGACACAATATACTACTGTAGATTTAAGATGTCTTACATTTGTTTAAGCTGTGGAATATTTGTTTAATGATGCAAAGATGTGTTGCATTTGTTTAACTCTGTGAAGCTGTGATGCTTTTCCTGATTGGTCTAATAAAGACTGAACAGTCAATATCTAGGCAGGAGGGGACAGGTGGAGATGCCAGGCAGAGAAAATAAGTAGGAGGAGAAAAAGAGAAGAGAGGGAAGTGGGAAAAGAAGGAGGGGCCAGCTACACTGCAAGCAATGGAATAAGAAGGAAAGAAAGGTATATAGAATAGAGAAATATCAGAGCCTAGAGGCAAAAGGTTGACCTGATAATTAAGTTAGAAAAGCTGGCTAGAAATAAGCCAAGCTAAGGCCAGGCAGTCATAAGAAAGAATAAGTCTCTGGGGGATTATTTAGGAACTGGGTGGCAGCCCCCCAAAAGAGCCAAAGAGTTAAAAAAAATCTACAATATACATCATGGAAGAAAATGTATTTCAAATCCTACATCTGACAAGGGCTTAAAAGCCAAAATATACAAGAAACCAAATAGCTAATCAGAAAAACAAGGCAAGCAAACAAACAAAAAGTATAATTTAAAAATGGGGCAGTAGACTTATTTCTCAAGAAGATACACAAATGGTCAATGAGAATAAGAAAAAAATCATCACTATAGGTTTCAGGACTATTCCAGTCAAAACAATAATGAGGAGGCCAGCAAGATGGTTCAAACAGCAAAGGCATTTGATGTCAAGGCCTGAGTTTAAGTACCAGGTCCATCACACGATGGAGGGAAAGAACCATTCCCAAAGGTTGTCCACCTATTCACACACACACACACACACACACACACACACACACACACAAATGTTTAATAACAACAGCAAAATACCACAATGAGGGTTCACCAAAAGGACTATAATCAAAAGACTACAGATACTAAGTGCTAGTAAAGATGCAGGAAGGAAAGCCTACACTGCTGAGGAGGATAGCCTTGGACACTGCTGAGGAGGATAGCCTGGACACTGCTGAGGGAGAATAGCCTGGACACTGCTGAGGGAGAATAGCCTTGGACATTGCTGAGGGAGAATAGCCTGGATACTGCTGAAGGAGAATAGCCTTGTACACTGCTGAGGGAGAATAGCCTTGGACACTGCTGAGGGAGAATAGCCTGGACACTGCTGAGGGAGAATAGCCTTGGACATTGCTGAGGGAGAATAGCCTGGATACTGCTGAAGGAGAATAGCCTTGTACACTGCTGAGGGAGAATAGCCTTGGACACTGCTGAGGGAGAATAGCCTGGACACTGCTGAGGGAGAATAGCCTTGGACATTGCTGAGGGAGAATAGCCTGGATACTGCTGAAGGAGAATAGCCTTGTACACTGCTGAGGGAGAATAGCCTTGGACACTGCTGAGGAGGATAGCCTTGGACACTATTGAGGGAGGATAGCCTTGGACACTGCTGAGGAGAATAGCCTTGGACATTGCTGAGGAGGATAGCCTGGACACTGCTGAGGAGGATAGCCTTGGACACTATTGAGGGAGGATAGCCTTGGACACTGCTGAGGAGAATAGCCTTGGACATTGCTGAGGAGGATAGCCTGGACACTGCTGAGGAGGATAGCCTTGGACACTATTGAGGGAGGATAGCCTTGGACACTATTGAGGGAGGATAGCATCGTGCATTGTTGAAGGAACAGAAATTCATACAGCCATCAAGGAAAACAGCAGAAAGGTTACCTGGAAAATGGAAAACAAAACTGACAGAACAAGCAACTCGATTCCAAATACAAAGCCAGAGGAGAGGATGTCAGGATGCTAACTTGGCATCTGATGGCATTTCACTTTCACAACAGCCAAGGGATGGATGGAAACAGGGCCCGCCAACTGATGAGCGGACAAAGAAAACAGGCTCCAAGGTTGAGCTCCGAGAGCTTGAGAGCCAAAGAGGGGTTACCAAAGGCTCGAAAGAGCAGGAGGCATGACAGGATGGGGAAGCTTGATCAGAGCAGAGGAGCAAGAGGCGCTGGCGCGTCTGCACAGTGTGGGGACAGCTGCAAACAAGGGGTGTACTTCCAAGGGTAGCAGGGACCCGGAAAGTACTCACTGTGGAAGTCAGGTATGTTTACAGACAGGTGAGTTTAACAGGATTCAAACATTATGTATCTATTCAAGTGTAACATGACATCATGTTTATGTTTCTATGTTATAGTTAATAAATAGAATTAAAATAACAAATTTCCATTTTAAAAAGCAGTATAAAAACTTTAGACAGGAATATTCTGTTGTGTTTTGAGTGCTGTTTTACAAGGCAGTGAACACAGTTACCAGGATATCACACATTTCAAAATTGCTAAGAAAGACTTTAAAGTGACCTCACCAGAGAAAAATATTTCAGATTGCATGTTGATCAACTTGATCTAATTTGTATGTCAGTCATAAATCACATTTGTATTGTACAAATACATATTGTTCATTTACAGTAATTTTTCAAACCAAACTCAGATCTTTGCCAAGTGACTTTATTTTATAGCTATTTTTCTATCAAACATATTCATATTAGTATTGAAAAAGAACAAAAGAATCTGATATAAAATAAACAAAACAATGAAGTAAAGAAACAAAGTACCCCACTTGAGAATTCACTTCAAACTGCAAAGGACGCATCTGGTGGAAGGAAGAACGCAAACAATGACAAGCAGAAGAGGGAGCTTTGTGTTTCATGGAAGAATTAACAAAAAGTTTGTAAAAAGATTTAACAAGGGCTGAAGTAGGTGCTCTTAGATAAGATCCACAGACTCGAGAGAAAGTGCCGTTCCCAGGCAATGTAAAACTCTAAAGGACTAAGTCCCCAGAAACTGAAGCTGCCATCGGCGCCAGACAAAATGCTTTGCTTGTGTCTGTGAACTAAATACAGAGCAGAGCCTGAATGAAACTTGAAAGTGCTTGCCATCATGTCAAGGAAAGGGCAGAGAAAATTACATAAATGCGTGCCTAAAAAATGGGGAAACACTCTTTAAAGTGAATATGCAGTTCAAACCATTTTCTTCGTGAAATTAAGGTCTACGCTCACAGGAGTGTTTTAAATTATCTCCTACATAAAGAAGTCTGGCATCCCTCCTCCAAATATGCCAAGTAGCTAAAAAAGATGCTTTTATACGATTAAGTTAGCATTTCAATTTTATGTTAATAGAAAAATATCTGTACCTCCATTTTGGCATTTGTCCACCGAGGTATTTCCACAACCATATTAAACAAATTCTGCAGTTAAAAAAAAAAAAAAGATAGAACATTAACATTTTTATTCACCTTTTATTTTATTTTTTTTCACTTGGTATTGAGGGACTGTATGCTAAATGAAAATCAGTACAGCCTCTAATAAAAGAATAGCACAAGTTTTCATCCCACACAAAATGTTTAGTGCCTAACTTCTATATCCATCCATAGTACAAACCCCTTCTTACAGTTAGAGAGGCCACCTAACACTCAGAGGCACCAGGCATCTGACCACTTCTGCATAGCATCAAAGGACACTGAACATCTGGAAGCACTTTCCAGAGCAGTGACAATGCTGGGAGCAAGACTTGTTCTCTTTCATTAATTTGTTCTGAGGCAGAGTCTTACCAGGTAGCTCTGGCTAGCCTGGAATTGCTATCCAGGCCAGCTTTAAACAGAGATCTACCTGCCTCTGCTACCTGAGTACTACGATTAAGGGCGTGCACCACCACACCTGGCAGAAAATTAGTTTTGATACTGATTTTTCAGCTAAAATAGTACAACAGACCATTTCTGCTCTACTCATGGCAATGTGGTTAAAATATCGCTATGCAATTTAAAGGAACACATAAAGAAAATTAGGCAGTCAAAATATGTTGAAAATGATTAAAAGAACATTTGTATCTATAATATAAAATCAAAGATATCACTATAGGCAGTTAGAAAGTTTACAAGGAGTTAGACATGCCTTTCTAAAACAAGGCTAGTGATGTCAGATTCCTTAAGATTACAAAAGGGCCATGGCTTCTTTTTCTCGATTCTATACTTTGTAAACTGCTTAACTTGAAGGAGACACTAGGTCAGTGTGGGTAAATGCAATGCCCACAGCTTGTCTCACAGAGAGAAAGTCTTAACATTTAAAGGTGGCTTGCAAAATTAAGTGAAGCTATTATGCTTATGTCAATAATAAATCATGGTCAAGGGGAAGCAATAGTTTAAAATAGCATAGCCCAGGCCCATGACCAGTCTGCAATGGTTAGCTGATCATTTAGAAACATTTGTAGTTAACTGACAGTAACTTGTATATCTACTGAATCTAACACTAGAAAATTGTAGCTTTGTAGGTGTGTTCAACTATAAGACACTCCCACAGCAAAGCGTCAGGAACCTAATTGTATGGCAGATATTTACACAATGTATTCATCTTTGAAAGCCTGGCTATGAAAGGACAAATGCAGATGGATGAATACAAGGTGATGACACAGGGGACTGTGCTAGTTAACGGCTGTGCAAAGACACCCACCAAAGCCACTTGCACAGATCTGCTAGGCCAAAAGAGTACCAGGTAAGGAACGGGTTCGAAACTTCAGCCTGCAAGCCACACTCTCAGTCACCATTTGCACTTGATGGCCAGGGGTTCGTGCTACCATGCCTTCTTCTCTCCAGCTGCAGTGTGGTCTGAGTGTGATTTATCAAAGCCAGGATCACTCTCCTTTTCCTAAGATTAGCGTTAGTAATAAGCCAACAATTGCCTACCAGCATTTATCAGAAAATCAAAGATACATATTCAAATCAGAAATATGGCAGGGAAACCTAACCCCTCCTTTAGTTCTTTTCTTTTTATTTTTCCCCTAAGGGAAAATACTTCCCTTAGGGGAAAAATAAGGTAATAGATAATACAAATCAGTGCCCAACATATAATCTGTGTTACAACAATTAGGTTTTTTGTATGTTTTTGTTTTTTGAGACAGGGTTTCTTTGTAGCTTCGGAGGCTGTCCTGGCACTCACTCTGTAGATCAGGCTGGCCTTGAACTCACAGAGATTCGAGTTGCCTCTGCCTCTTGAGTGCTGGGATTAAAGACATGTTGAATTTTAATCTGGCACTCAGAACGTGGAATATATTTTTCCCCACTGAAAAGACAAAGACTACTTCAGATTAAAATGCCAGGTCTCTGGGAACTATAAAGCCTCAGGTGCCTTCGTGCTGGCATGCCACCTCCCATGCAGAGCAGTGGTTCTTTATCGCACTGGAACTGCGCTTGCTAAAACACAGACAAACCAGACCCCATTGAGCAAAGGGGTCTGATCAGTGGAGACACAAAAGGATCCAGAGTCTTAAGTTTCCAACAAGCACAGCGGGAGGTTCCAGTGTAGGCGGCTCAGGGGCTCTCTGACAACTGCTTTAGGAGAACAGAATATGGAGGGCAGGCAAATGGCACAGGAATTTAACAGCCTCCATAGCTATGTGTGAATGTGCACTCAAAGTCTGGGGACAATAGTTTCAGCCACTGGAATAAGACTACAGAGGCAAAGGGTAGCAGGGAGACTGTCCCCTGAAGCAAGAGATGGGCAGAGATTCAATCAAATATTTGGTCTTAAGTTACTGTAACATACGACTGCTGTGACTTGTTTTTCTACTTCCAAAGGACTCCTTTGCCTTAATTCTAAAACAGACTCTAAAGCTATATTCTCTGGAAAAGAACACACTCATTTATATACATGTTAGAAAAGGATAAAATCATGTATGTTATGTTATGAACATTCTAACACAATAAAAAAGGTCAAATGATGATAATGCCCCAGACGCCTTAAACAGATGGTAAGAGACAAACACGAGAGTCCACATGAAAGCTTGCAGGGGAAAGTCAGAAGCAGTTTAAAAACGCAAACTATCACCAAGGTCATTAACAGACAGTGTAAGTGACTCAAGAGACTGGAGAAATGGTTCTTTGGTTAAAAGAGCTTGCTGCTCTTCCAGAGGACCCAAGTGGAGACCCTAGCACCCAAGCCAGATGGCTCACAACCATCTGTAATGCCAGCTGAACAGGGTCTGGCATCCTTTTCTGGCCTCCACGAGTACTACCTGCATGCATGTGCACACACAGACACACACAGACACACAGACACACACACACACACACACACACACACACACTCGGCATAAAATTTTAAAGGATTCAAACAACGGAAACTTCAGAAGATACCTTAAATTCATCATTTCGTGCTTTCTTAGTGGGAATGCCATTGTCCTGTAAGAGCAAAGATGGTAATTGTGATTGGAACAAGAATCTCAGAAAAGAATGCAGGATGCACAGCACAGCGACAAAAAATGCCCACTGCACACACGTTTTACTAGCTGCTGCCTAGACATCAGACTCCGCAGACAATCTGCCGGTAATGGCTGTCCCTCAGCATCCCCAGTCTCAAATGAACAGAGGATCAAAGTGCTTTAAAAGCTAAGTATCAGAAAGTCCAAAGCTCTTTCACATAACTAACTTCCCAAGTCTGCCTGACACAAGCAGGGCCTCTGCTGAGTGTACAGGGAGAGACCAGCAGGTTCCAGCGACTGCGTCTCAAACAGTCATTTCATTATTGAAATGAAACTCCCGGGAGCTTGACTAACAAGCTGTGAAAGTGCTTGGCTATACCTCCTGCCTGTGAATCCTATCAAGGTGCGATTACTCTGCCTCCACCACACATTTTTAAATTAAGCTAGACTACACGGTGGGGTGGGAAGAAAGATTATGCCATTCACAAATGTTCACTGGGTTTATGTAACACTTCCACACCAAAACGACTACGAGGAAACAAAATAAACAAAAAATGATGATTCCAAGTCACATTGTCCTAAAACATTATTCTTGTTCTGAAAAGTTTACATCCCAAGGCACAAGGTGCAAAAATTCCAATCGTGACTGGAGGCAAACCCATTTATATACATGCTGTGCACCTCTGTACTCATGAACAGGTGTGCGCGCACTCGCACTCGAGTATACACACACACACACACACACACACACACACACACACACCTGCACTTCTAGAACTCACTGGCCTGTCTTATAATTTGTCCTGCCTTATCCTCAAATTCCATGGGCAGAATGCTACAGTCACAGATGCATGTCTATCTTTGTTCCACACCCACCCCTACCTGCTTCCCATTAAAAAAACAAACAAACAAACAAAAAACAAAAAACCGCAGTTTTGACATCGTTGCTGTCGTGCAGTGTACACTGTGGTGAACCCCAGATAGGGCCCGACACAGTCAGTCACCCGTTCTCCTTCCTCCACTCTCCTTTACAGTACTAAACACCGTCTGACTGACCTCATCTATGGCTGTCCGCGCCCTCCCACTGATGCGAGCTACATCTGACTTGCTCACCGCTGCACACTCAGTGCCGCAAATAGAAATGTGGCAGACACTAAGTGTGCAACGATTATTTATCAAATGGATGAACCAATGCATGCACACCTTTGGCCAAAAGTAAGGTGTTGGGCAGACGAGAGGTATTTCATAGTTCACAACACCCTGTACGTCAGAACACTGAAGTAACAGGCTAAGCACTCCATCTAAACGGAAGCCGTTCTCACAATAGTCTACATGTGGAACCTTATCAAGCAGTAGCTGCCATCAGAATTACAATAACACATGGCGAGCACTGAGCATTTGCAGACATGCACCAGCCTTCAGGCCCCCTCAGCTCTCCCTGTGTAGGGCAGTGGTTCTGACAACCCTACTTCACCGGCATCCTTCCGACTGTTGAGTGGTTTTCAAGAGAAAAGCTAATGAAACACTAGGCTTTTCCAGCTTTACGTTTCTGCTTCATAGGGTGGGAACGGGTAGGAGCTCTGTGGTCAGAAAGGCCAGCTCCAAACTTGGCTCTGACGTTTGCCAGCTGTGCGCTGCTAGGCGAACCAACAAAATGCCTGCTGCCTCACGGCCCTTGGGCAGCTTATGGCAACTTAGCAAGGGTTACAGAAAATAACTCATTCATATGGTGGCTAGCACACAGAAGTCACCCGCAAATGTGAACTATGTTATGATTCAAAATAAGCAGATTAATTTCCCACATTACTGCCCTTGGATCTTTAGTTCCCACCAAAGCCTAAACTTTATAGACCACAAATACCCCTTTTCCTTGCTGCCCACAAATTTTAATTCACAAACGAGGCTTACAGCCCTGTTCCAGCTCCTTGGTTTCTTCTCCTGCTTACCAACCACATCTTTACTTTCAAGGCATTTCTATACAAGAATTTTCAGGCCAGTAGTAAAGTATCATTTTCATACTATCATGTACAGGAAGTTTTTCAAGCTGAAGACAAGTAAAAACAATACCTTTTTAGAATCCACTTCCAGAGGAATATCATGGAAAGGGGAAATGTAGTGGCCATCTACATTCTCTGTAAAGGAAAAAGCAACAGAATTAGAGCTTTGCACACGCAGCTCTTGACAGCAATAAGGTCCTGATCTACTTCGGAACGTACATGCTATTAGCAATGCTAACTTTACACCTCAACATTTTAATTCAACTTTGAAAACTTGGTCCAGCCTGAAGACAGACATATATGCCAACTTCCCATATTTGGTTGCTGAAATCATGTAATTCAATATTGTGCTTGACTTCAAACACCCAGTGCATAAACCAGCTAAGGTAGACTAACACTCTCATTACTAAGTGAATTAGACTAAACTGATACCCATTTTCTTAGGAGAAAACTAACAGTATATTTCACAGTTTCCACCTACAACCCATAGGAAGAAAGGTCCACCTGGAGCTGGCAAGATGTTGGGATAAAAGGCCAAAATAAACAATGAATAAAATTATCATAAAATAGCTGGCTAAACAACAAACAGTAAGTTCTAAGTCCAGCTCAATAAAAGCAGAGGTGGACAACTTAACAATGATGCTATTTTATTAAACTTTTACTCCCTCTCCCCTCCCCCAGGTCATGAGCAAGAAGCACTGTGTTAAATTCTGAGGGAAAGTGTTCTTGTTGGCTCTTGGTTTTGTCTGTTTTGTTACATTTCTATTGAATTCCCTGCATGGAAAAGGTAGCTAGCACCTAGCTGGCATTCAGCAGTTACCAAATAAACAACTTACTACTATTCCATTTCTCTCCCTTTCCAGGCTATTAATCTCCTTTCCCTACCCTGGCAACAAGGTAACTCCTGCAGGACATGTGACATGGCATGGGCAAAGCTGAAGAAGAGCATGATGGGAAGGCAGTGTTTGTTTAGGATGTGTTATTTTTACTTTTATGACACTGGGTGTTGCAGTAATGTGCATACCATGTGCATGCCTGGTGCCTGTGGCGCTCAGTAGAGGGCATCAGATTCGCTGGAACTGAGAAATTAACCTGGGTTCTCTGCAAGAGTAACAGGAGCTTTTAACCAGAGAGCCATCTCTCCACCACCCCCGTTAATGCTTAAATACTCAAATTCTCATGTTTCTGATTTCCGGTTTTCCTATTTCCTTACACCCATTCATTTGGTTAATTATTTACAGAACACATGTGCTTTTCCAAACACTATTCTATGTGCCAGGAATACATATTCTAACTTCTGCTGGCGTGCATATTATATTCCAGTGGGAAACAGGGTGATGAATATGTATAACCTACAGCAGGGATGGTATTCGCGATAAAACACCTCCGGACAAGTAAAGAGTGAACGCTGGTGACTCTGGACGGCCAGGAGGTGTCTCTCACACAGGCAGCATGGTGGCAGCAGCCTGCAGGAAGTGAGGAAGAGAGTCCAGCATATACGGAGGAGGGTGCCGAGGAGAGCATCAAAGACGAGATGAGGAGAAACATCAAGTGGGCCAGCTAGGCAGGAATGCAACAATCAAAGGCAAAGGAACGGCTGGCAGCGGATGAAGAGCAAGGCTCACATCTGATCATAAAGAACCTTGCATCCTAACTCCGCTTTCAAATGTCTTTTGAGCAAGAACGCTGGGCTTTTTCCTCCGTAAAAGGAATGTTTCCTCAGTACGTAAAGTAGACCAAAGGGAAAGAATCAGGAGGCTTCTGCAATTGGTCACCTGGAGATGATGGTGACTTGGGTGATGTGGCAAGGATGGGGATGGACAGAAAAGAAAAATGTATTCTGGGCGCCTTTCAGAAGCTGAGCTGGGTATGTCCCCAAAGGATATGATGCCAATGACTCAACTTGGGACAAAGGTAAGAGAAGGGACAAGTAGGTTTACAGGGGGGTGGGAGAGGAGCGTGGAGAGTCAGCTGAAGGCACATCACGCACATCACGGGAGTTCCAGCAGACTCCAGAGAATGCAAGGGACACAGCTAATAAATAAATAATAAAACAGACCACATACTTTCCAACGGCTAGATGCAAGGCCTCCAATGTACTTGCTGTACACAGATAATAAATATTTGAGGCAATGAATATGCTAATTCCATTAACTTGATCAAAACAGATAAACATGTTGGGCAGACATAGGGGATCAAGATTTGTTTCATGTGTGGGAACTGTAATGTGCTTTATGGTAAGGGAGAAATACAGTGTGCAAAGCTGGCCATGTGAATCCCATCTTCAAGACTTGAGACTAATGGTGTAAGCCTAGGTCTTGGACACAACCCCCGACACAAGGCACATAGTAGGTCCGCTCAGAGCCATAGCCATAGTCAGCTGACTCTGGTCGCCGACGGCAGTGTGCCAAAATGCAGCACTGAGCAGTTATGACAGGGGGCGATAGTTCCCATGGCCTAAAATATTTACCATCTGGTTCTTTTCAGACAGCTCTGCCAACTCCAGGGGAGAGAGACGGTCTAGAGACGAGGGCTAAGAACCAAATCCTGAGGCATTTCACAGCTTAGAGGTCAGAAATAAGAGAAGGGTCACACAAAGGGTGATATGAAGGGAAAGTCATCAAAATAACTGTTACCAATTTTGAGCCACATATCACACCTACTTCTCTCCTACCCATCTCAATGCGCCACAATGCCCAAAGCTCAGCTCCCTCCCATCTCCACCCCCTTTGACACACACACTTAGCTACTTCATCACAGCCACACTGCTTTAAAAAAATGATAAAATACTATGCACTCTTGAGCTCCGGTGGCTCCTTCATTGTCTATGGACTGCTCTTTCTTACTCTCACTCTGACTTTAATATGATATTTACTAGAAAGTTGATGAGATAAATGGCTACCGTCACCATATTTTGTCTTGGAATAAAGGCAGTCTGCAGCCCTAGACAAAAATGAATGAATTCCAGGAGGCTCATCAATGTGCCGCAGGCACTCCAGCCTCACCTTCCCCTTCACTGTCTAGACTACTTTTCATTCGATTGCTCTGCAATTTTCTAAGGGTTCATTGTCTCATACTGCTGAAAATTTATTAGCTGTATTTCCAACTGAGAAAACAGAATAGACTGTGGAACCCTTACCTAATACTTATATCATATTATATAATTATATGTTATAATATTACATATTATATAATATACAATATACCCATATATTGTAATGTCATAATATATAATACATATTATATATGTAACATATAACCATTATATATGAAATATCATAGCATTATAATATAACATTTATATGCCAAATAGCTATATTTATACCAAACACCAACATACACAGTATTACTGACCCATTTACAGTGATTCTCACTGGAAGTTTGATAACAAATAAAACGAAAATGAGCTTTGCAATACTTTTTGAAAGATGAGCTTCAGTGAAAATGTGCCCTCTGCTTCATATAAATCACAGGATTTCTATTTTACAGCTCTTCATTCAGAAAACTAAACTGTTTTAAGGTTCTAAAGACTAACATCAAGTAAATATAACTTTTAACATATTAACTTAATAATAATATTAACATAATAACTATTATGTTTAAATGTATTGATTCAAGCTTACAGGAACTTACTCGCAGGAAGTTTTACTAAGTTCAAACATGTCACCACCCACTACTCAAATGATGTAATTAAGAAAATGTACAAACATACGGTAATTTCAGCCCCTATTTACAAAGAAAAGAAAAAGAGAAGGAAATCACATTAATGAAGACCTGTATGACTCAGTCCTACAACAAATAAAAATAACTTGATTTACATACAACACTGTTTCATAAAGTGAATCCACCTTCTACCACACACCAACAAGAGTACAAATTATGGAACGTATGGGTTTTCCCCTATCCTTTAAGAAAAATTTAAAATCTAAAATAAGTCTCTTTCAAGTTACCAACACCACCAAAAACCACCGGCAATATCAAAGGGACCAGACAGGCAGTGTTGCACCTGAAATCCTACGTAAGAAAGTTGGTTCTTTATCATTTCACAGCTAATGCAAGGCTACACGGCTACAGCCACTAGAAATCTGAGAACTGAAATTTTCAAATATTCAATCTTATACTCATTCCATTACTGTCACCCTCCATGGAATTTAACAGAAAGAATGTGTCCCTAATACTATGGCTCTATAGTAAAATTTGAAGTCAGGTACAGTGAAACCACTCACAATATTGCTTTTATTCAGTATTGTTTCAACTGCTTCAATTCGGGATCTTTGTGTTTTCCCATAAATTTTTGGATTTTTTTTCTATGTCTGGTGGAGAATAACACTGGAATATCGATTGGGATTAATCTGTAGATTGCTTTTGGCAGGTGGTTATTTTTTTTTTTTTTTTTTTTTTTTTTTTTTTTTTTTCTGCTGATCCATGAGCATGGGATGTCATTCCATCTTCTTGTGGCTCAGCTTCTTTCTTCAAAGCCCTAAAATTTTCATGGCAAAGGTCTTTTGTTTCCTTGGTTTGTTTCCAGGTGTGTGTGTGTGTGTGTGTGTGTGTGTGTGTGTGTGTGTGTGTGTGTGTGTGTGTGTTGTGAATAGAATTGTTTCTCTAATTTATTGTTCGGATGTCTGTTACTGGTAAAGAGGAAGGCTACTTATTTTTTATGTTAATTTTGCATCCAGCCACTTTGCAAAATTATTTATTAGTTCTTAAATATTTATAATTAAGCTGTTGCCTGCAAGATGTAGGATTCTCAGCTACTTCTCCAGTACCACATCTGCCTGCATGGCACCATGCTCCCCACTGTGATTATAATGGACTGAACTTCTGAACTGAAACTTGCTGCTTATGAAATGGTAAGATTTCTAAGGCCATGTTAAAAGATTTACTGAAGCACGGTGAACTTGGGCCCATTTTACAGCCCCGAATTCCACTTGCCCTCTTTGGGATCTCCTAGCCTGGGGACTTCAGATAGGTCAACTTCCCCCACTGGATCAACCCATCCAGAGTCTGCTGACATCGAGGCCCTAGTCCCACCTTCAACTACCAGGACAGGGAGTGTCTCAGATCCGTCTGCACCCAGCATGAGAGCCATCCGAGTACTGAACCTCCGTGCAACCACCGGAAAAGAACCTTGG